AGAAGAGGGAGGGTAAGTTGCTTCCTCCCTTCCTCTCCCCACCCCTGCCTGCCTGGGGCCAGGGAGGGCCTTCACGGGGCTTCCTTGCACTCCTAACCCTCATCGGGCTTAGCAGTGTCTGACAGAGGGATTTTTTGAAATGTTGATCTTTCTCCCGTACTCCTTCCAGGCCTCAGTATGGTAACAGCATGGAAGCAGGAAAATGCAAACCTGGAAAAGCCAGTGCTGAAGGCCAAGATAGAGAAGGGTTGAACAGCTGCCATGCATTTCCTTTTCGAGTTTAGACAGGCGGGAACAAAGGGGAACCAAACACTGCAAGATACCAGCTTGCTGAAAGGGTCACCCAGCGGGCTGGGCTGAGAGGAAACGGGCCCTGAGGCCTCAGACGGGCCTTTCAGTCCTACTCTTTGTCTCTCCCCCAGACTGAGGCAAACTGGGAGATGAAGGCCAACAAGACAGGAGGAGAGTTGATACGGAGAAGAGGGCCACGTGTGGATGGACGGACGGGAGACGATCCAGAAGGCAAGTTCTTCCGCGAAAGCGGGAGGCTTGCAGTGTAAGCAGGGGGTAACTGGCAACTTGAAGCCTGGCGCGACACCAGGGTCTGAAGCTCCCGATTGTCATGCCTGCCCCTGCTGATGTCATGCCTGCCTTTGCTGATGCCCCTGAACAGGCTCCTGAGGACCCTGAACAGGCTCCTGAGGACAGTACTGCAGCAGAAAGGCAAAGACTGGATCCTGTAGCTGAAAGCTATCTAAGTGGTGAGGAGGATAGAGCCTCCCAGGGAACACCTGCAAGGGATCAGTCTCTGCTGCAGCCCAGTAATTCATCATCAGACTCGCCTCCACCTGTAACCAGGCTCAGGAATGTAAGAAGACAACAGCTGAGAGAGCGAAGGCAGAATGCACGCATGCGTGCCAGAAGATCTCTTAGTCCTGATTACTGACAGGATCCTGTCCTCACTCCTGGCTAGCTAATGAGTTGATTAGCTAGCACTGTATATATGCAAGTCTGTTGCCAGCAGTCATTTGTGCTGGCAACGTCGTTTGTTCAGGACCTGAATCCTTGCATCTCTGCTCCAGACCTTGTGGAATTCTTCTCGGCTTGATCCTCGGCTTTTGACCTTTGGCTTTGTTGACCCTGCGTTCATCTCTGACTCCTCTGGTATTGTTGTGATTTATGGACTTGAAACTTTGGTATGTCTGACCCTGCTTTTGGACTGTGATTTAAACCTGCTTGAACCTTGCTACCTGGTTTGCCCAGCTTGACCTCGGACTGTTCCTGGACTTTTGCTTGCTTGTGTCACGCCCCCTGGTCCTGCCGTGACAAGCTCCTTCAACCCTTCCTCTAAGGGACTTGGTCCACAGACCCCTCACCCTCTTCACTACCCTCCTCTGGACACACGTTCCAGCTTGTCTGCCTCCTTCTCAAATTGTGGTGCCCCAAACAGAAGACAGTCCTTGTGAAGCGGTCCTTCCCATCACCTCCCACCGGAGCCTTTTAACCAGAGATGCTGCTGTGGACGGAAAACAGAACCTCCTGCCTGCCAAGCAGATGCTCTGCCCGCTGTGCCGGGGGAGAGGCAAGGCTCTGGTTACAGGCCACGGAGCGAGCACACAAACACTCGGTGAGAAGCCGAGTCACAGAATCCGACAACGAGACCCAAAGGAGGTGAGGACTGCATCTCCGGTTCAGCCACACAAACGAGACAGAGAACTTCGAAACGTTTACTGAGAACTGAAGAGAAAATAAGCCTCATCTGATTAGGCGGCAGTCCCTCTCAAGCAAGGCGGTCGGGCGACACAGTCCCGGTCATGTCCTGACACCAGCAGCAGGTTCTGCGACCGACCGTCGATGGCGGCAGAGTCTCCGCCTCTATCCTCCGCTCTGCTCCCCTGACTCTCCTTTCCCGGGGGGAGCCTCCCGGCTGCCCCGGACATTCCTGTCCATCCCAGACAGCTCCTGCCCAACAGGTCTTGGTCGCCACACGGGCAAAGAGCCGGCCGAGGAGGGCCCTTCCACACGGATCTGTCCTCCTCCTCTCATCGAGAGAGCCGGGTGCCCGACGGGCAGCACCCCCACCACAGACGCCAAAGAGGAAGGGCCTGAGCCCCGCTCGGGATCCCACAGCCAATCGGAAGGAAGAGGCCAGCACCTGCTTGGCTGGGGACCACTGCTGCTTCCGGACCGATGCGGCAGCCCTGGCAGCTGCTCAGCTGTGTGCCCGTCTGGCCCGGGGGCTCAGAGGCCAACCGCCCTGCCCAAGGCAGGATGCCTCGTGGTCCTGGGGCGAAGCTGCCAAGGGAGCAGGAGTGTGTGGGGGGGGGGCACCTCTGCCTTGACTGCTGCTGCCACTGCTTGAGCATCTTCTCGCCGGGCTTCTGTTTGGTGTCGCTGCAAGAGACCAGCACGGCTCAGCTCAGCTCCACTGCGCCTGCCAGCTGAGTCGGGGCTCTGTGGCCCTCCTCGCCTGGCTCCCAGCGGGCCTCAGCCCCAGGAGGCGAGCCTTGAAGCAGGCCGGCCTCCCTCCCCTCAGCCAGCCCGCCGGAGCTCAGAAGAAGCCACCTGAGGGCCAGGAGGCAGAACGCTCACCCGAGGCAGCCCCCCTCCAGCATCAAGGGAGAGAACAGAACGGGGCACCACGGAGATGTCTGGGGCCGGACACACAGAGTCCTCCCCCCCCCCCCGGAGTCTGAGAGCAGGCGCCTCTGATAAGCCGGCCCCCAGCTCCACGCCCAAGCAAGATAAGCAGCTCCTCTGCACACCCTGCACACCCAGCAGACTCTCCCCTGATCAGGCTGGGGGAGGGGGAGGGGTCCTGCCTGCCTCTTGGCTCCGCCTGTGCCCCTCCCCCCCCCCGCTCTGGCAAAGCAGGAGGGCAGGGGTGCCGCACAGGCGCCTCCAAGAAGGGGGGGAGGCGGGGGCTCTGGGGCGGCGGGCACGCAAACACCCACACGGAGTCTTGCCAGTTGGCAGGTGGTTCCACAGGCTCCTTCCCCTCTACTACCAAGGCTTAACACGCAACAGGCCAATTTATATGGCCGGTGGAAAGGCAGGTCGGGGGCAGACCACGCCTGCCACTCAAAACCACTTGGCGGGCCGGTTTTGTTCCTCCACGGAACGCGCCCTGGAGGAAGCCCTTGTCTGAGATGATGCTGGGGGCAGTGTGGCAGAGGAGGTGGCAGAGGAGTGGAGAGTGGCAGCCAGGCCAAGCAGTGGCGTCCCCTTCTGAGACTCGGGGGGGGGGAAGTCTGGGAGAGGCCCCCCCCACTCTGTCCCTGTCGCCAGCCCAGACCTGCAAGACTGTAAAGGCAGCAGCAGCGGTCTAGTGAGGAATAACTTCCTGTGTGCGGAGGCAAGAGCTCTGCGCGGAGTCCAGCTCTCGGGGAGGGGAAAAGCCTCAAGGGGATGAAGACGGCATCCCTGGCTGTGTGTGCCCGTCCTGAGGGCCACAGGCACAGACCACTCGGCAAGGGGACGAGGCAGACTCATGGAGGAGAAGTCTGTCAGTGGCTGCCACTCACCATGGCGACTGAGGGGAACTCCCCCCCCCCCCGCATTCAGAGGCACTAGCCAGGAGGCAGCCTCAGGGGAAGGCAGGCTTTGTGCCCTGTCCTTGGCCCTCCGGAGGAGCTGGCTGGCCGGCCGCCGGGTGAGACGGGAGGATGCTGGTCTGAGTGGACCCTCCGATGGTCGGATCCAGCGGCAGGGCTCTCCTGATGTCCCCACCCCACTGAGGTCTGCTAAACAGACTTCCCGAGGGAGACCGCCTCGCTCTTGCAGCACCGTGAACGGATATCAGTCAGACATCAGACCTCTGGCCAGCAGAACAGAAAACTGCAAGTTAATGGTTTCGGTTAAAATCAAGCAAAACTCTTTTTGCTAGGCAATAATTTAAATAAAAGGCAGGTGCCAGTTAATGCTATGAATCCAGAATAAACCCATGCGATTAAACTCAGATTTCCCATTCTTCCTTAAGCGCGAACTAAATACATATTGACCACAAGTCTCTAAGGCAAGGGCAAATGATATTCTAAGCTGAAGGGCGGAAAGCGATGCGAAACCGGGAGCCTGGCCCACAAGAGATGTCCAGCCCATACAATGCCTCCTTTGACTGGAAGCCACCCGCGCAAAGCCTGACCGGACACCTCTGCAGGGCACCTGTGTGACGGCCAAGGCGACAGGGACCAAAATCAGTCTCTCTCACTTCACGACACGACGGCCCTTGAAAGAAAACAACTTGAATAAATGGATCATTCAAAGCAGGTGAACAGGTGAACGAGAAAACATCTTCATGGCTCCAATTAAAACTCTCCAAACAGAGTTATAAGGCTAAAAGCAGAGACTTTAAAGAACAGAAAAGCTGCTATTTTTGCAGCTACACCAATGCAGCGTCTTCAGAGTCAATACAGAACTACAGACCCGCAGTTGAGCCCCCTTACATAGGTCCACATGAGAATGCATCAGTGAACAGGAATACAAGTAGTTAAAGCCATGAATATGTGACAGACGCAGCACTAGGGTTGTCAACCTCCAGGTGGTGGCTGGAGACCTTCTGGGACAACAACTGACCTCCAGAATGATACGAAGTTGTTCAGGGTGGTGAGAACCAGGGAGGATTGTGAGGCACTCCAAAGGGATCGGTCGAGGATGGGCAAGTGGGCGTCAACGAGGGCAAATGGGGTTCAATGTGGCCAAGTGCAAGGGGATGCACATTGGAGCCAAAAATCCCAACTATAAATACACGTTGATGGGGTCTGAACTGGCAGAGACTGACCAAGAGAGAGATCTTGGAGTCCTAGTAGATAACTCACTGAAAATGTCGAGACAGTGTGTGACTGCAGTAAAGAAGGCCAATGCTATGCTGGGGATTATTAGGAAGGGTATTGGAAACAGATCAGCCAATATCATCATGCCCCTATATAAATCAATGGTGCGACCTCATTTGGAATACTGTGTGCAGTTCTGGTCACCACACCTTAAAGAGGATATTATAGCTATTGAAAAAGTGCAGAAAAGGGCAACTCGAATGATAAAAGGGTTGGAACACTTTCCCTATGAGGAAAGGTTAAGGCGCTTAGGGCTCTTTAGCTTGGAGAAACGACGACTGAGGGGTGACATGATTGAGGTTTACAAGATTATGCATGGGAAAGAGCAGGTCGAGAAAGAGGTCCTTTTCTCCCTTTCTCAAAAGACAAGAACTCGTGGGCACTCCATGAAACTGCAGAGCGGTTGGGTTAGAACAGATAAAAGGAAGTACTTCTTCACCCAAAGAGTGATTAACGCATGGAATTCACTGCCACAGGAGGTGGCGGCAGCTACAAGCATGGACGGCTTCAAGAGGGAATTAGATAAGCATATGGAGCAGAGGTCCATCAGTGGCCCCTATTAGCCACATGGTATAGATAGGCACTCTCGGTCTAGGGCAAGTGATGCTCTGTCTTCTTGGTGCTTGGAGGGGGGGAACAGTGGGAGGGCTTCTAGTGTC